CCTCCCCATGACCTTGTGCTTGCCTGGCCAGTGCAACACTACCCAGCCCCATGTAGCTTTTCAGCAACAGAAATTTATTTCTCATAGTCCTGGAGGTTATGAAGTCCAAGAACAAGGGCCAACAGATTCTGTGTCTGATGAAGACCTTCTGGTTTATAGGTGATACCGTCTTGCTATGCCCTCTCATCAGCAAGGGTCAAAGCAGCTCTCTGGGGCTTCTTTTACAGGGTACTACTAGGGCTCTACCTTATGACCTAATCACCCTCAGATACCCAACCTTGGGACACATTGGGGGTTAGGTCTGAACATGAGTTTTGGAGGAACTCAGATATTCAACAGAGTGATTGAGGAAGATGGTAATAGATGAGCTTGTGTTTATGGGCAGTAGGGGAAGATCACGTAGGACATTGCAGGATTTTGTCTTTTTCTTAGAAGTAAGTTGGGAAATCAGTGGCTGTTGAAGAGAAGACATACTTCATTTGACTTAAATTTCAAAGTGATAGCTTTATTGTGTTAAGGATAGTCTATAAGGTATTAGTTACTTAGAAGAATAATCGTCATGTAGAATGTAGAATAGACTTGAGCAGTCACTGTGGAGGTGGTACAAAGTGATCAGATTCTAGATTTAATGGGAATATAGAACTGACAGGATTTTACTGATGGTTTGAATGTGGGATGTAAGAGAAAAAGAAATTGAGGAGAACATGCTAAAGCGTTGTCTAAAATAATCTTCAGTACCTAGCAGGATGCAGCTGTCATTTTTTGAGTTGAGGAAGCCTGGAACAGAAATCTGGTTGATAGAGAATCATGAGTTTGGGAAGGCATTAAATTTTCATTGTCACTAAATTTCCCATTAAGCATTCAAATGGAGTTGGCATATAGGCATTTGGTTATTCAGGTCTGTAGTCTGGGCCGAAAAGCGTTGCCATAGATACAGGGGCCAGAGTCCCTAGGACCAAGAAGCTAATTTTTTTTTCTCATTGAGTTTATTGGTACATTTTAGGTATGCAGTACAGTTACATTTATCATTGAGATCTTGCACCTTTACATGACAGGTCTTGGTTCTCATTTTTTCCCCTTATCCCTGCCCTCCCTTCACCCTTCCCTATTTACAAATACTTTATTTCCATTTTTTCATTTTCTCATTTTTTTTTCTTTTCCCTTATTACCTTGCCCCTACCCTTCCCACTTCCCCTACACCAAGAAGGTAATTTGAAGCCACCATAATTAGGTGAATTCACTCAAGAGAATGAGTGTAAGAGAAGAGATTTGGGAGCTAAGCCTTGGGAATGTGAACCCTAACGGAGATTAAGAGGGCAAAGGAAATGGGAAGGAACAACAAGTAAAGGAAGAGGCAAACCAAGAAAAGGTATTCCTTTGAAGTTGTATAGAGAAAGTTCCTCAAAGCCAAGAAAGTGCTCTGTGGGATAGATGATGATAATAATTCAAATAAGATGAGTTCTGAAAATTGACCAGATTTCACCGTGTGGAGGTCATTGGCTCCCTCAGCAAGTGCTGTTTCAGTAAAGTAGTACAATCAATAGTCTGGTTAGACGGGGTTCAAGAGAGAATGAAGGGGAAGACTTGGAGACAATTAATATAAAAAATTGGGTGGTAGTGTCTGACTGTGGGGTTTTTTTTGGGGCGGGTGGTACTGGAGATTGAACTCAGCACCTTGTTACCTGTAAGGCAAATGCAGTGCCACTGAGCTAAATCCTTGGCCTCTGCTGTGTTTTTAATTTCCTAATCCATCAAATCTTAGTCCCTCCCTGTGCTGTATAACTGGAATAACCCAGGGCCTTTAGGACATGGACCAGGCCACCTCTTTGCTTTCTGGACTTTGTCCTTTGGGCATAGGACAGACAATATCTATCTTATTTCCTTTACAATTTGTCATACAGTGGACACTTAAATATTTACTGAATGCAACAGTGTGAATATTGTAACTAAAATTAGACCATAATTACCCAAATAAGTAGTTGCTTGACAGTCTTTAACTCCATAGGTCATATTTATACTTAGCCCTTTCCAGCCCTTATGTAGCAAAGGAATCTCTAGAACTCTAGGAAGGGGTTCCAGAAAGTGTTTAGGAGAGGAGTAAATCCAGATGGCATGTTAGTGGTTCAGCCTATATTTACAATGCCTTTTATTTATTCATAGTGTATTCCAATTTGTATACTGTAATTTTTCAGAGGAGATGGGGATGAGGGAGATGAAAAGAGTACAGGAAAAAGGATCTGCTATTGAAAGGTCTTTTATTAGTAACTTCTAGGATCCCACATGATATTTGTATTTTGTCTAGCAGCTCCTGCTCCTTGACACTTTTATTTCTTGTGGAACCATCAGCAGTTCTGGTTTGTGTTTTTGTTTTTTAAATTATCTTTTGGCCATGACTTTTCTTACACAGTACCATTTATAGTACAATATTCTAACCAACAATACATATTTCATGTAAAAATCTGAATTGAAATCATGATAAGTTAAATTATCTTAAGTTTTGTAGTATTTTATACTGAAGTGATGGCTGTCTTAATGGTACCAGTCCGTCATTACAAATTTCTACTATTTAGTTGAATAGAAACTTACTGATTGATTGATTGATTGGTCCCAGGGATCAAACTCAGGACCTTGCACTTGCTAGGCAGGCAGTGGAACCACTGAGCTAAATCCCTGGCCCCAATTTCTACTATTTATTTGGCTTTAAAAAGTTCTTTATTTTCTTTATTTATTTTTTATTAACTTCATTCTTATATTCAAAGGAATGCTAAAATTTGGCTAAGAGAAGAAAAGATGGGCCAGGGATTTAGCTCAGTGGTTCCGTAGCGTGCCTCGTAAGCGCAAGGACCAGAGTTCCATCCCTGATACCTCCCCAAAAAAAAAGAGAAGAGAAGAAAAGCTCTTATCAAATGATAGATGCTTTTGAAACATTTGGATTTTAATTTATTAATCAATGTTAATGAGCCTTTTAAGATTTTTCAATCTGTATTTTCAAATATATAGAATGTATAAATGTATAAGTTAACAGTGTTTTAGGGAAACGATATCCAACTAAAACCAAATACCTCAGAAGAATAATTTAAGGGAGAACAGTTTTATTTTGGCTCACAGTTGGAGAGGTTTCTGTCTGGGATCATCTGGCTTCATTGCTTTAGACCTGTGATGAGACAGAAACATGATGGTAGAAGGGTGAGGCACAGGAAAGCTGCCTACCACTTGGAAGTCAGGAAGCAGAGAGAGCCTTTACTGTTGCCTTCCTCTTTCTGTTTTTATTCCATGATACTGCCAGTTGTTTGTGGACTGAATCTCTCTAAACCATAAGCTAAATTAAAATTCTCCTTTTTTAAGTGTGGATGTCAAGCAGTGTGTCCCAGCAGTGGGAAAGCTGAATAATACAGAAAAGTGGTACTAGTGTTGCTATAATTGTACCTGACCATGTAGTTTACACATTTTTGGAACTCTTTTTCAGGAGGAGTTTGGAAAGGTTTGGAGATGTAGGCTAGAGAAGCTCTAGAATGCTCTAAACAGAGTTTGATGGGCTGTTCTGGTCAGAGTTCAGAAGACATAGATTCTGATAGGAATGTGGACAGTAAAGGCCAAGCTCAGGAGGTTTCAGTTGGGAAAAAGAACTCCATTGGCAATTGGACTAGAGGGCATATATGTTACATTGTGGAGGAAAATATATCTACATTTTTCCTATGTCGTGAGACTTTGCTACAGACAGATTAAAGATCGTGAACTAATTAATCTGGCAGAGGAAATTTAAGGTAGCCCAACATTCAAACTGTGATATGGGTACTTGTGACTGCTTTTAGCAAGATTTATAGTGAGAGTTCAGCAAAAGGCAAAGGTAAAAAATTTGAAAGACTTAATTTTTGGCCTAGAGTGAACCTTGTGTGAAGTTGGGGGCCCAAGAAGATATGACTGCTAAAGAGATTAACACCATTAAAAAGAAACCAAGTACTTTGGGGATAAAAAGAAAGATGTCTTGAGCATATCAAAAATCAGCAAGACCCTAACCATGGCAGTTCAGGGTTTCAAAAGTGTCTGCCATTC